GGTGTCACGTTTATCTTCAGAAAAAGAGAGATACTTTGAGATTATATTAAACTAAGAATACAAACCTATGAAATGCACAGGCACTTTTTATTCAAGTATGTAAAAGGATTTTCTCTGGATATAGCAGAAAGGTTCAGAATTGAGGCTCGCTGCATAGATTTCCTATTGATTGTAAGCTGATCACTTATGCTGAAGCCCAAACCCAAACTAACATGTCCGTGCATCTTCTGGGCTGGATCTGGCTCACGTCTATTGAGTTAAGTATGCAAACGGAGCGAGTGCTTGTTTGTTTGTGCCCGTGAGCGTACACATGCTTGCGCTCTGTGCGTGCACATGCACACATGTGGCCCTTTGATTCCAGGATCTTTCACTTGAGACCATGTAGGGGCTGACGCTAGAGGAAACTCCAGCAGTGTATTTCGGGATGTATCTCATTACATTAGCAGCACAGATAATGACTTAACAGACTTAATTTAAAAAAAAAAAAAAAAAAAGTCCTTTTAAGGACTAAAGTGAATTTGTTTGTTTTTATTATGGGTCCCACTGCTGTATCCGTAAATTTTTGTTCAAGGTTGTTACTCTAATATTTTGGCCATGGGTTGTTTTAATGATAACATCTGCATCATAGTAAATGGATTGAATGAAACATCTCAGAAGAATAGTAGAATCATGTGATTGCATATCTGTTGCTGATTCACTGTTACAATGGGAAAATCCCATTTCTATTTTAGTCCTTCTACCTACGATCTGCAAAGAATGCATTTTCTTACTTTGTGATTTTGACATTTAAAGAAGTGCTTGCTGTAATGAGGCTTCTGTGTTTTGTTCACTATGAGAACATTTCAAGTATTTACATAATTAGAATTTTAAGAGACTATATATCATAATGTAGACAACAATTTAATTTTTGCTCTCATTAAAAAAAAAACAAAAAACCCAAAACACAAAACCAACCCTAAATGCAAACTCCCACACTCAAATCTTCTAGATTGTTCATAAAGCACAGATATAGGAATATGGAATAAAGCAGCTTTATATAGTTAAGAAGGAAGAGAAGGGAGCCTTTTATTATTCTTGTTCAGAAAAATGTTCTTCTTACCTCATTAATTTTATGATTGTTTTATTTGTGAGGCAAATACAAAAATGGTTATGAGGGGAAAAAATATAAATTCTAGCAAAGATGATGCCTGTAACTGCTCTTAACAAATGGACTGAGAAAAGATAAAGCTCTTGCCCTGTTTTGAGAAAGCTGCTTGTTCTAGCTGTACTGAATGCAGGAATTATAAAAACAAAATAGGATTCTTGTTATGCTCATTTGCATGTTAAATATTCTGGATGTTTTTCCAGCTCCCAGTTATTTCAAAGCAGTCAGAGTGTCTGAGCTCTGGGAACAAACCAAATGACTTGCAGCGCTCTTTGGTGTGCAGATGACCCCTTCCCTAAAAATCTGCTAGTCCAAAGTGGAGCAAGTTGATGATTGTGTTCTTTGAAATCATAATAGGCTGCTGGGAGAAACTCCTTCATATCAGCTTCTGAAGTACGTGGCTAAAGAGAAGATTTGAGAGGGTACAGATAGGCAAACAGCAGTCATTTGATCAGTGATGAAAGTCGTTAACATTACTGTTTTCTTCGTTGTCAAATTTGAAATAGCTTGAATGCGTAAAGCAAATAAGAAGTAGCCCAGCAGTGAAGTGCTTTAGAATAAGGTCAGTTGCTCTTTAAATCAGGCATTAGCCTACACTATTTAACACATACAAAATGCCTGTATGAGGATTAATTTCAGATCAGAAAGTTGGTATTTTAATCGTTTAGTGCTCTATCCACTGAAAAAAAAAAAAATCCCAACCAAACCACACAAAAAACCCCCACAACAGATCTGTAGGAGGACTCAGGGATTTTGTCAAGTGGTATCTATGTCAAAATAAATGAGGCAGCTCATCATGAGGGAAGTATCCCTAACAATCCATTAACATTAATCATTGCCCAGAGAAGAGATCATGAACCTTCTGGACAGTTGGACAGTGTCACCTTTAATACTCAGTAGCAATCAAAAGGCAAATGGCTAGGATAAGAACAGAATGAATTATTGTTATGTCTTGGTAGATCAATAAGTGTCTCCCAGAGCTTTTTTTGTGCATTTTATGCAATAGTTAGTTTCCCTTCTCAGGAAGAAATTAGTAGAGCTAGGAAAGGTGAGGGTGAAGGGAAACCAGATCTGCAATGAAATGGCTTCTGTACCAAGAGAAATTAAGCAGCACCGACTCAGAAAAGCTGTGACAAAGTTGTGTAAAGTTGGGAATGAGGATTATGAATAGGAGGCAATTGCTCACCGTTTCTCTGAAGATGGGAGCTGAAGGATATCAAGTGAAAGTATCAGGCAGCAGGTTTAAAATAAAAGGAAGTGTTTTTTCATTCCGCGCATGATAAGGTGTGGAGCTCACTGCCACGGGATGGTAGAAGAGGTCAAAAATATAAATGTACTCAAAAGGGGTAGAACAAATTCAGAGAAAACTTTGTGAGAGGCTGGTCAGCATAGACTGTGGATGCAGCCCCTGCGGTGGGGTGCCCCGGAGCTGCCGAGCCCCCGAAGCTGGGGGCAGCGTGGCAGGCTTGCCCGGCTGCTCCCGCTCAGTCTGGCTGCAACAGGCCGCCATCGGAGATGGCAGCGTGGGCTTCAGAGACTACAGATCTGAGCCGGTATATTTAGCCTAATGGTCTTTACCACCTTGCTTCCTTTCACCAATTACAAGTTATAGCCAGCCTTTACCTTCTTTTTCTTTCTCTCACGCACACGCTTTGTTCTTACTCCCCCAAGAAAGTAACTCTTTCATTCTCCAAACTTGGTGGATACACTGGTCCTCTTTCAAGCTTCCTGATTTTATTTTTCCCTGGAAAGTTACCCTTGAGTCTTGTTACTCTTCCTGGGAATGCTAGTGCATGGTTTGTTTAAATGCATCAGCCGCACGTAGGCATGCATCTTACTATGTACCTGTTGAGCTCTCCTGACTACCTGTGGTCTAATCGACACGCCCATCTTCCCTGGAAGCTGCAGCGGTGTCCTGTTTGATTTCTTTTTTTCACCAAGCAGATCTAATGATATGAAGGTCGTGTGTAGTCGGGGACAAGGAACAGGGGTGGGGATTGTGGAACACCAAAGCCCTTGAGGATCTTGTCTGTAAGTGTGGCCAAAGAATGAGAGCGTACCTGGCAGGAAACCTTTCTTCTCTGCTCTTACTCGTGCATAAACTTACTTGCATTCCTCAGTTCTGGAGGGGACAGGACAGAGAGCTGCTCGTCCTTTCTCCCAGTACCTCTTTTCCAGGAGCAAGAAATACGTGCCTGTTAGGTCCCTTCAGGCACCTCTCTGTTCCTCCTATCGAACCCCAACATCAGGGGAATGAAGAAATATCAGTAAGTGCCACAAATAGGCTCCTTCAAGCTCTTAAAATGTTTAAATAATAGAAAATTGTTCACATTTTAATATTTTAGCATGTGGTAAAGAAACCATTTTATTTTTGTGTGTGTATGATCACGGGGTGCAGTCTAGTTTTGCTTTTGTTCTGCTAACTAGTTTGATGGATAGGTCAGGCACAACCTTTTATAAACTTTTTTTTTTAGGTTATCCTGCCTTTTTCAGGTAGTTTGAGTTGAGGAATTTTCATACACCTAGACTTCTTCCACCCACATGGGTGTGGTGGGATTTAATTTCTGAGCCTGTGTAAGTGCCATGGGAGTTCAAAGCAAGTACTGCTGTTCCTATTTCCACATCTAAATCACTTGTACCTAGTGTACACAGAACTGGAAGCAGGAGGGCTATGTTCTGGTCTGCTCAGCTGGTTCTTCCCAGGATAGTGCTGGCAAGCAGAAGCTGGATGAAGTACTTTGTAGTGCATCGGTGGCCTGTAAGCCTCACAGGAGCAGTCTGCATTGGATAATAATATGTTCGTTTAAACAATGCTAATAATCAGCGTCCATTCTTGGGATGTGCGAATTGGAATGTACAATGAGTTGCAAGTACAAGGGAGCCTTGATAATTGAGGAACAATTTGCTTAATTATGTTGTTCTTAGTCAATGTATCATTAAAACAATGAAAAAGTTAAACGATTGTTTAATGTTTGACAGTGTCAATATTTTCCAGTCTCACAGATAATTTAATAGTCAGGATACATATATTTGGAAGGAAAAAAGAAGTTTCTCTAGAATATACATGAATAGGAAGTGTATAAGAATTATACAGACAAGGTTATTTAGGGAAAAAAAAAAAAAAAAAGAAAAAAAAACCACACCCAACCCAATGCCTCCCCTCTTCCCCCCAAAAAAACCCAAACCAAACAACAACAACAAATCACAACTACTTCATTTATTGCACTAAAATAAAAAGTTGGGGTATGTAATGAGGGGCCTTAGTGGAACATGGTATCTGTTGTACTTCTGCATTATTTTTATAGTCGTAAGGGATCTTCCATTGCAAAAGCAGTACTTTTCCTGTTGCTTTTCCGATATTGAGAGAGGCCAGTTCTTGACTGGTGACTAATCTCAAATGTTGAAGTGACCTTGGTCAAAAAGGGATGAATATGTGCAACTGCTGACTCAGGTTACCATATTCAAGTAATAGCCTATGGGCCTTTGTCTGTTCTTGATTAAAACAACAGATTTGCGTTCTTAGCTGTCTTACTGCAGCTGTCAGCATCTTTGTTCTTTCTGTGACCAGAAACACCAGGTTAAATAAGTCATTAAATAAGGCATAACCTCTGTTTCCAAGGCATACTTAAGAAATTGATTACAGTTTGAAAAAATATAAAGAGATTATAAAGATTTATATGTAAATATAAATACTCTGAAACAAATGTTAATTTCCAGCTGTTCTTATGTCCACTGATTTCACAGTTTTGAATTAAAACCTCTGACTCTTCTCATCCTCTGTTTAATAAATTTTTTTGGTAGTATTGTAAGACTATTTCTTCATTATAAAAAGAATGCATTGCTTCTATGTTTGCAGATGCTGTGAAGCCACCGGTCAGTTCTTTACAACCATCTGCTGAGTTACCCTTGCCCATCAACACTTCACCGCCTTCCATGCAAGCAGAATCTTCGCTACCTCCTCCTTATCAGCTTATTAACATCCCCCCACTGGAGTCTTCCTCTGGTCAAGAAGATCCTCAAGACTACCTACTGCTAATAAACTGTCAAAGTAAAAAACCTGAACCTATGAGGTAAGTGACATTTTTTTTCTTAACAACACTTATTTGTATTACAGGCCAAGAATGTTTGTGCTAAAAGCACTTTTTTATTACCGAATCATCAAACATTTGGATGCACGTAATCTGCGGGGGGAAGCTGCCTGTAACTTTTGTTTCTTTTCTTTCTATGCTTGAACTTTTTGCAGCAAGTCATTTGATTGGCACTAGACCCATATTGCGTTCTTCAAAAGCGTGGACAGCAGTTGCCAGTATGAAGTATCTGATAAATGCAGTGATGAAAGCAATTCGTTGGAGCTTGGAGTGATGCATGGCACAGAGCACAGAAGTGCCCTTTCTTTAGCCACAAGCTGATGTGTTTAGTCCAGTCTAGGACTAGAAAAAGCTGGAGAAATTTAGCCTTTCTCCCTTTTGGTATTCGGTGCCCCAGTTTTGCCAGTTAAAGCTTTCATGGAAGGGATTCCGTAAAACATGCTGATATTTATTATCACCTGCCAGGTTACCACATCACTGAATACAGCAATCCTCAAATGGTATTTGTTGACTATTACTAACATGGTTCAGACTCTCAAGCAAGAGTAAAAGATAATTATTTTATGGTAACTAAGAATGTAGCAGACTTAAACCACTCAGTTTCTGTATCCTGAATTTTAACTTTTTCCAAATAACAGATATTTAAAAACAAGCTCAGATAAGCCTTATTTCTTACTGAATAAAGAGTACCCACACAGTCAGTTCTCCAGAGAAGTGTGCAATAGGAAATTTTAAGGAAAGAATTGAGAACTTCTACTGAATTAAACGTATATTTATTTCTCCAACTGCTGCTTCTAACTTAAATAGATGTACAGCACCTCCTGCATAGGAGTATATGATGTTTATTTACCTGGGAAATATCGCTATGGTTTTTCACAATGGATCATGGTGGCCATCCCTGGAACAGGCTGCCCAGGGACTTAGTGGAATCTCCGTCCTCCAAGATTTAAAAAAAAAAAAAAACCCAACCACAAACAAACTTGACTGGACAAGCACCTAAGGAGCCTCACCTATCTTTGAAGTTGGCTTTGCTTAGAGGTATTGGAAGAGCTGGACCAGATAATCTGCAGAGGTCCCTTCCCACCTTGAGTATTCTGTGGGGGAACCTTCTAAATCTCTCTGTCAAGCTTATTTTCTGCAGTAATTTAAAATAAAATCTGCTGGTGTATTTCCAGAAAAATAACAAAACGTCACATTCTTTTTGTGATTGCAGATAAGTACATGGAAGGCTGAGGAAAGCTTCCTTTGAAAGCGTTTGCATGAGTATTTCACATACTCCCTTAGGGCCATACCTTTTAGCGGCGGTGCCTTCTTCATCAACACCTTGATGCTCTGCCAGTTTTACTTGTGCCATGTGCTCTCCGCTCCCTTGGCATTTTTATCTTGCTCTGTTGTGCCTGAGGAGTTTCCTGCTCCTTTTACTGATGATTACATGGTAGAAAAGTATCCACCCTTTACAGTCTTCCTTATAAAACGGAGGAATGAGCCTACAGTTCCCCCAGAGTATGGAATCTGCAGGTTACGGGCAGCATGGCGTGCCCCAAAGCCTCCTGCATGAGAAGGGGAAACCCATTGTCTACTTTCTCAGAGTTAAAGATTTCAGTGTTTAGTGATGTCTAGAAGCTGATGGTGCCCGAGAGGTATGTCACCGTTCCTGCCAAAAGCTATCAAAAAGTTTGGTATTGTTTCCAGAACGGTTTGGCAGAGAAATCTTGACTTTTCATTTCAGCACCCTGGCTCATCAGAAATGTTGTCTGAGTGTCCATTTGCTTCTGTGAGGGATGGGCACAGAGTGGATTTCTACCACCACCACATGAAGCGTGTTTTTAGGAATGATCAAGATTGGGTTGTGTAAATGACTTTCTGACCTGACTTCCACAGTTGTGTGATGTGTGGGTTAAGTAGAGGGAATAAAGTCTGAGGAGACCATAAAAGGGGGCACAAAATGCAGCAAGGTATGGAGTCCATGAATAGCCTGCAAAATTTCTTGAGGAAGACACTGGTGACACAGGAGAGAAGGTATTTGGGTGTTGGGGAAGACAGAAGATCTAATGGAGATAAAATGCTGAGAAAGAACTCAACAAAGTCTTTGGGAGTGTAGAGATTGTTTAAATAAATGATGTTTTTATAAGAATATTTGAAGACAGCAAAACATTGGCATTGTGATTACTTGGAAATTATATGGGCTTAGTGTTTTATATTTAACTGAATCCATTAAATAGCTATGTCCTTTTATTAAGAAGGCTGTAATAATGAATATTCAGAATAATAGTTGTGCTGCAGTTTCAGTTCCACTTCCACCTAAAAGGACTGCTTATGTTGCATGTCTGGTACAGTAGGTATTCTGCTGGATTTGGGCCAGACTATAGTGGATATAGACCTTTTCCTATGAAATTAGAGCTTTGTGTATCTGTGTAGCATTTTACTAAGATGATCAGTTAGAGGTCACTCTGTGAACTACCCCAGTCCACATCCTTACAGGTGAAGAAAAAAATGAAATGACTGCATCATTTTCCTATTAATTTCCAGACATGTATTTCATACAACCTGTTTTCCTTAGCGTTAAGTGCAAAGCTTAATAGATGTAATTAAATAGGCAAGTATTGTTACTTGAATAGCTTATTTCTTTGACGTTTTCCCTTTAAACTTTAAAGTTGCTGATATGCAGAGAGAACATTTTGTGTTCTAATTTTGTATGTTACTTTATAGATAATCTGGGAAGCACCGAATTTTATTTCAAGGCTTTGGGGTTCTTTTCTGGGTGATGTGGGTAACTGGGAAACATAGAGGAAGTATCTGAGCTGCGTCTTTGAAATTTTTAAGAATTGCGATGTTTCAGAGCTAACCGATAACTTTGAAATGCTTCATTACGGTGTCATGCAATGCGCCACGTACTGTTGTGAGAATATCTTGGATGCAGCATGCTGTATTTTGTCTAAAATAGTTTTATGCTCTGATCACTGTTGACTTGAGAAAGAGCATTGTTAGACTGTAGCATTTAGTGAGATTTTAAGGTTCATATTTGGATCCTAAATAAGAAAATGCAGCCAAAGACTGTTTCCAAAGCCCTTATTGTTCTGGCTCATTCGAGAGGTATATTGAAATACTAAACGCTGTCTTCCTCATCTTTCCTATGTTTATGAACCAGCCAAGGGTCACCCTTTCTCTCGGAAGAAGGGCAGGAATACCTTCTATTAGAAGATTTTGAAAGTAAAAAGATTCCACTCCAGTGAGTGCACAGTAGCCATTCTTGGAACGCGTGTGAGAAATTAATCACAGAGCCATTAACTTGCCTGAAAATATTGTTTGTTTGAGATGCATCTTGCATGGTGTTCTGTGAGTTTTAACAGAAAAACTATGTAACTTTGGCTTCCATTTTCTGGAAATAGAGCTGGTTTATTTATTTATTTATTTATTTATTTATCTATCTATCCACATTTTTACTGTGCTTGCTGTTTCTGTCCCAGATTGCTGGCACACATGAGCAGTTTTGCTGCCGCTTTGTTCATAGTATTCTGTTTAATCGGTCATACTTGATCCCTGCAGATGGGAAAAGAATCGGCTCGAAAGGATGAGTGGTCAAGGCAGATTGAATACAGCGTATTCAAAAATGGGATGATTACCCCTCAGACTAAAACACTTTTAAAACTTTTTTCCTGGGTCTCTGTCAACAAGTAGTTTTTAGTACATGGAGGCAGGCTTCTTACTGGGCTCCCCCACCTCAACACCCCACTTCTTCTCTGTGCATCTTTATGTCCAGTCCCTGTAGATCAGCAGGCTGTACAGTTATCTCTTCTTCATATGTGGAAGGAGATGTCCAACCCTAGCACTGAGTAAGGAATAGTTTGGCCACTTAGCATGATTTGCAGATATGTGATGCCCGTATGTGATAACACTGAATTCATGTCGCAGTCATCCTCTGCTTATAAATAGAGTGAGGAGTTTTCATTGTGTTATATCCAACTTTGCCGTTATTTTAAACTGAGGTGTTAATACTTAATAACCGATTGTTAATGGAATATTTAAGCCAATTGATTTTTTTTTTTTGTTGAGCTGTTCTGAAGTGCATGGGAAACATTAAAATTTTCAGGTAATTTTCTTAAGTGCAGAAGTCATCAAGCATCCTGCATCTGAAATCCTTTAAAAAAAAAAGTAAAGTCTGTCCCTGAACTCTAGTCCTAACCTAAATTTCCTTGAGGTAACATGAATCAACTATGCATTGTAGATTTTCAAAATTGTATGTGGTGTTCTTATGATCAGTGGTTAATACTGACTTTTGAAAACTAGTTAAACTTCAGAGGCTGAATTCCCTGTCTTCATTTTGGCATAAACTGCTTTCTTGGCCTGTGTCTCAGACTGTCTTCAAACTTTTGATCTTGCAAAATCAGATTGCTTACAACCCATTCATATTTTGAAAACTATTTCAATAGGCTAAGAAGTTGATTCCAAAAGATTACTTTTTAAAAACATGAAGTAAATCAGAAATGCCCTCTTATAATGAGAAATTTGTGAGAAAGTTGTGGCCATCAGCTAAGCAAATGACAGGCCTGGCTGCCTCATGTGTCCTGGTTTTTGAAAGACTTCTGTTTTCGCAAGTGCTTGTGGTCAAGAAAGACGCAGCAGCATTCACTTAGACCCAGAAAAACTCCTAAATTCAAAAATGATAGCATTTGTTGCTTACGTATGATGGGTAATCCTTAAGCACTGGCATTGTACGTGTGCTGCTGTTGCATTTTGAGCTTCGGTTATATACTCCTGCATGTTTTTGTAAGATAAAGATAGTGTTTATGTTTTATTTCTGTAGTTTTGGATTTTTATTTTTTTTTCATTTTAAAGTATATGCTAGTGAACTGGAACTAATAATTTTGGTTCTGCAGTTGATTGTCAGTGTCCAGCTTCTCTAGACTGCCCACTTTATTTTTATAGCATATAAAATACAGATCACAATCCTTGCCATACTTGCTCATGTAAAACACATGTGACTTTTGCTGGGACTTTAGTCTGAATGAATACCACAGAACTAGAAAAGTACATCTAGAAAGTGAGGAACTCCTGAATGAATCCTTTGAGTAAAGAGCAAGGGCTGCAGCAGGGGCTCAGAGTGCTGTTAGTCGCACAGTATGTTCACAATTTATGATGCACTCCGTAACCTTCAGTCCTATGGGCTCTATTTTTTGCAAGTGTGTTAAGCTTCCAGTGGTTCATTAGTGATTTTTTTTGAAGCTCTGAGGCAAAGGAAGCAAACTGTTAGCAAACAAGAGAGATGTTTTTGATGGTCAGCATCGTAAGGAGTATAGGAAGTTTCACTTCCTTGGTTGTGCCAAGGATAAATACTTAATGAGAACATTCTCTTCTTTTTTGGGGGTTGATTAAACTAAACGCAGATTAATGTTCAGAGTCACCTAGAAGCCCATTCCAACCAGTGAGACAGGACTTAAATCTATGTTTAAAATAGTAACCAGAGCAAAATTAGTGTACTTCTTCTAATGAAAAAAACCCACACCATGAAAAAAACTAAGAACAAGCTAATAGAAAAAGGTGATATAATTAAACCTGGAGAAGGACTCTCATAAGCCGCTCGGACTGATGGAAGATTGTATCTCTGCTATTAAACAGAACAAAAACCAGTTGGTTAGGCAAATGACATTTTTCTTGACTGCAGATGTCCAGTCTAAGCTAATCACGTTGGTTCCCTTGATAGCTGGCAGAGAGGCACTTTGGGGAGTGATTCATCGGGTTTAGATGGATATCTAAGGAGAATGGATTGTGTTTCACACAGTCTCCATTTCTCCAATGACTACAGAGGAAACCTAAATGAATAGCTAAACTGGATTCCTTTCTCCTCAGGTTACCAGAACCCCAGGAGATAAATCCAGCTGTCCCTTAAGAAAGAAAGTTTTGTGTGATGTTACCGACAAATTGAAATTTGAATAATAAATTCTGGTTGTGATCACTTTGAGGTAGAGCGCCTCTTAAAATAAGGGGAAAAAAATGCTTCTTGTGGTAGTCATGCTGTTGATGATGTATTTTATCCCTCAGAAGTTTTGTAAACTGCATGGTCCAGTTGCTTAATAGAGCTTAGTAAGAATAGTATAGCAGCTATTCATTGATACACATGCATGCTGAAATCTTTACATACGTATGTATAAATTAACACAATGGTATGGTACTGTGGTAATGAAAATAGGAAATATCACGGTATGATTGATTGAAAAGTGTGTGGACTCTGTTAACTCCACCTGTGTTAGTATTTTGCCACTGTCTTGACTTTCATTTAAGCAAGGAGTCAGACTGATAACAGAATTTCTCTGCCTGGAGCAAGGTAACTGGGGAGGTTTACAAAAAAAAGAAAAGATGGCAATATGTTTTCTTTCCACCTAAGTTTACTGGTACTGCTTAGTACCAGTGCTATTCTCACAGAAGTTGGAATTTCCAAAGAAATCAAAAGTAAGTTTAACTACTGTGCAGTTTTATCTAACACCACTGCCTTGACTTACATTCAACACAAAAGCACTCTGTTGCACATACATCCTATGGATTTTTTTCCCACTCCAAAGAGCATGCTATCTTCCTCTAATTTCTGTTCTTATCTGTTATTTCTCTCTCCTTTATGTATGTCAAACCAGTTTTACATGGTCAGTAGCTAACTTTAGGCATGCACTTAAGGTTGTTACAAGCAGCTGTATTTTTTCCTCTAACGTTTTTTTCATACTGATTAGAACTAGCAAGTACTGTAAACCCAAGGATTAAGTGTATTATTTTTACCTTTAACAGTGCCATTGAAGTGCTGCTAGTTTGCAGCATGGGTTAAAAAAAAAAAAAATAAATCCCCCAGCCCCCAAACAAACTCTGCTCCAAATTGGTGCCGTGGAAATCACTTGCTTTATGAAACATCAACTTGTTGTTTAGCTGCTGCTAAAGCTCCATGCTTGTGTTATCTGTTTCACATGCATGGATTTGTATGTATGTAGTTACTTAGGATCCTTCTTAAGTACTGCTGTTTGTTTAGTAATTGAGTTCCTGCATTTCATTAAAAAAAAAAAATTGGAAGAGACTGATAGACTTTTTAGTTGTTTACATTTTAAATGTTGTGTTTATTATTTGTAATGTTTGTTTTTCGTTATATGTTCAGCAACATTTTAATCTTACAATCTTACATGTAGATCTCATGCTGACTCGGCAAAATCCAGCTCTTCTGAAACAGACTGCAATGATAACGTGCCCTCCCACAAAAATCCCGCTCCATCAGCGAGCAAGCACGCTGTGAATGGCTTTTTTCAGCAGCAAGGTGTCTATGACTCTCCGCCTTCTCGTACTGGACTGACAGTGGCAGACTGCAGCCTTTATAACCTGCCTAGGAGTTACTCACAGGATGTTTTACCGAAGGCAGCGTCTCCATCTGGGACTGATGCAGAAGGAGAGCAACATGTTTTCAATACCCCGTCAGCAACATCTTCATTAGACGCACAGATGAGACACATCTCCATTAGCTATGACATTCCCCCCACACCTGGAGGTACTTATCAGATTCCACGAACTTTTCCAGAGGGAACGTTGTCTCAGACTTCAAAACTGGAGACTATTCCAGATATTCCTCCACCTCGGCCACCAAAACCTCACCACGCTTCAGATCGATCTCCTGTGGAAACATGTAGCATTAGTCGCACTGCTTCAGACACTGATAGTAGTTACTGCATCCCTACAGCAGGAAGGAATGCCACCCTCGCGCAGTAATACCATTTCAACTGTAGATTTGAATATCTTTCGTAAAGGTCAGTATTCCATATTTTATCCTGCTCTTCCAGAATTTTTATGTTAAATGATGTAATCTTGTGATGAATGATGTGATATGAATGGGCTGAATGATATGAGGGGCATTTCTAGCCTTTCAAAACAAGCGTGTAGCCCTTCACAAAGGGGTCCATAGTCGCAATGCTTAAAATATGTAAGAAAGAGGAAAAAGAGAAGATTATTAAAGGAAACCATCAAAACAACAAAGCACAGAACATCAATAAGGGATGTATATTGCACTGTGGCATTCAGTCTTAGCTAAAAATATTTGAAGACCTAGACCTATTTATGGTGTTACTTGTCTTTAGAAAACAGCAGTGAAGAACTAATCATCTTTTTTTTTTTTTTTTTGCTAATATGCTTATATAGCTGAGTTCAATACTGCTGTTATCAGTCTTTCAGACCGACCAAGTCAGGTTAGTGTATAGTGGTCCAAATCTGCAGAAGCTGACAGTGTTTCACAGAGGTTGGTGGGACTTGGTGTATACCCAGAACTTTGAGATCAACCCTGATCTGGTGATTGTTGCCACCATTTCTCTCCTTGTGATAGATAAGCATACTACAGTTTTTAAGTAAAATTAAAGTTATTCCTTATAGTCATCTAAATGTTGGCATTCCAGGTGTGCTAGTGCATTTTTTTTACTGTTTTTCCTTTAGCAGCTGGGTATATTTCAGGTCCTAGCAAATCTGGTGGAGCTACTTTTACTTAAAGAATTTGGTGTTCCTTGGGGTGTTTTTTCTGCCTGTTTTTTTTGTTCCTGTTCTTATTTTCCCAGATTTAAACCCAAGAAATGCAGCGAGAGATAGAGATTGGGAACCTGATATTTATTGTTACAGATGGTAGTTGTTCTAGTCTTGTTAACCACTTTTGGGCTGAGTTTCATTTTTTTCAGGTTCCTGAGGCAGGTGGGCATTACAGTGTTATTTTTAAAGTGAAATTTCAATCTGTTTAGAGTTGATGTTAATGTTAGAGGGGATTTTAAAGGAGAATTGTTTGAGTTGTGCTAGGTACGGGATGGGAGGCTGAAATGAGGAAGGAGACGGGGACAGTGCTTTTAGAGGAGGCAATATACAGAACGGATGTGATCCCATACAGGTGCTCAGATAGTATTATCCTGTTTGTCATTCATTTGGTAGGTTAAGTAATAATATTGGTGGTTGTTAGTGTTTTTAAATTACAAAGTAACACCCTGAAAGACCCTTGTTTGCTTCACTTTGCTTATCCTCTCTCATTTCGCTAAGTTTGTAAGTGAGTACTCGTACACTAAAGCTGAGATTGTCAGCCTCAGGAAAAGTAGCCTTTCTGAAAATACTGTTTTAATTTTGCACTTAATAGCAGAAATGTTTATTTTTCCTCTGAGGTGGAAATCTCAAAAAAAGTTCAGAGCTTTTTTTTGGGGTAAGGCAGGGATAAAACCCAGAGTTTGCCCACAGTTTCTGTCTTGGCATCAGGAGGAGAGGCATGCCTGTTGCAGGGTAAGGCAGCCTGTCGCCTGCATGGGTGAGCAGGACCTGGGACCTGGGAGCCAGATGTCTCACAAACACCCCTGTCCACCAGGGAAACAGCCACAAAGCTGAGGACCACCTTAATGCTGTCTGCCAAGAGCCAGGACCCTGAAAACGGAGGGATCTTCGGTTCTGTAGCAGTTCGTTCAAATTGAAAGCCCCTGGAGACAGCACTGGGGAGCTGAGAGCCGGGATTCACCTGTTCCGGCAACAGACTGAATCCTGTTGAATCAGCACTTTCCAAGGGAAGGGCGTTCAGTCAGAAAACCTTTCTCCAGACCCTAAATTACATCTGCTGTTCGTTTATTTGAGAATAGCTTTTTCATGAGGGCCCAGTATCTCGAAACCCACTCTTACACAAAATTCCTACACCCGCCTATTTGAAAGGAAGATTTTGCTGCTGCTTTAAAAGGAAAAATTACTTTTTCTTGCCACGGAAAAATGCCACTAAAAGAGCTTCAAGTTGTGACTGGTGAGTGCTAGGTTTGTTTGTGAACACAATCCTCTCAAGTATATAGATAAGATCTGTGGGCCACAGCTTCAGGAGTTGTGTTTGTATGCTCTCAGAAGCAGCCAGTAAATAACAACAGACTCTGGATGCCTGGTGCCAAGTGACAGGAACAGGGATGATAAATAGCCACTTTCTCTTCTTGTTTCTTTAGAAATTAGTTCTCAAGACTGTTATGATATTCCACGAACGTTTCCGAATGACAGATCTAACTCATTGGAGGGCTTCCATAACCACTTTGTAAGTATGACTTGATCTGATGAGAGGCGACAGTGACAGTGCTTGAATGCTCTTTGTTCCCATGTAAAAAAGCAAGCTGTACGGTGTTTGTGATTTTTCAGTTTCAGTAGAATATATTAATCTGATTAGGTTAAAAAAGTCATATGATTCACAGCTGATTGCATAACTTATTTTGTTAAAGGAAATATATGTTAATTCTAGAAAAACAGAAGCATGTTGACAGTGGGAAGTGTTTCAAGTGAAGAACTAGATGAAAATTATGTCCCAATGAATCCCAACTCTCCTCCACGACAGCATTCCAGCAGCTTCACTGAACCCATCCAGGAAACAAACTATGTACCAATGACACCAGGCACGTTTGATTTTCCGTTATTTGGAAAGCAAGTTCCTCCTCCTGCTCACATGGGTTTCAGGTCCAGTCCAAAGACCCCTCCCAGACGGTCAGTACCTGTTGCAGAATGTGAGCCACCGCCAGTGGATCGGAACCTCAAACCGGACAGAAAAGGTGAGGAAAATGTCCAGTAGAAGTTGATTCTTATCATACAATAAAATAACATAGCTCTCCCCACTTCTGCTTAGTAGAAAACTATCGTATTTTTAGAAATTCTAACAAAATTATTTTTATCCTATGAGATAGTCATAACATAAAGGAATCCTAGGATTATTTTTAACCGTACTAAAACATCACAATAACAATGCCAAATACAAGCATAGGTTTAAATTTATTGCTGTAGTTACTAATGAAAAAATGACACAGAATTGCTAACACTCAAAAGTGTGAGTTTTAGTCCTTACACATAGAAGACAGCTAGCCGACTTGTGATAGAGAGAGAGCACACAAGGCATTGGACAGAATACAAATTTATAGCCATAACAGTGCTTGGTACAGGATCAGTACACATTTTCATTGTATGAAGTAAAAGTTAAAAATAACTTACTTAACTGTTTTAGGTATTTGCTTGTCATGTAAACATTGTTAGAAAAAATTAATTGTTACAACAAGACTGAGTTGTATATTTTGCTGCTTTTTAGTCCTACTCAACGTATGCAAATACAAATTCTTACATGGAACAATTCTTACAAATGTGTTAAAATCAGGGAAGAATTAGATTGAAGAAATAGTGTTTACTACTAAGTAGGTAATGTTAAGTCCTCGTTTCAGTCTGTAAAAGCAAGGAAAATCACTTGATGTTGGAGGTGGTTAATGCTTCAGTGTTAGTGGCCACATGGGGCAGTCACGGGAAGATGTTTAACGTGTGAGGCTGTGAGGTTACAACATATATTTTAATGGGAGGAGGGAACTGCTAATTCAAGCCAGCTCTTAAGATATGTTTGCTTTATCACAGGAGCTGGGTGCCATGCTTATATTGAAATTTGTATAAACTGTAGTCAGTGAAAATTTCCTTGCCTTTATAGAGGGTGGTAGATTAAACAAAGGCATAAAGCAAAAGGAAAACTAGCTTCATGTGGAAATATTTTAAAGTGCAAAATGTGTGGAAGATGACTGTTACGAGTCTGAGGAAGCTGCAACAACTTCAGTGACAAAATTGGAAAAAAACCCGCCAAATTTTAGAGGGCCCCTTCAACGCTATCCTAAAAAATTAATCTCTTGAAGCTGGTGCGGACTGGGTTTACTTTTCCTTAAAGTAAGGATTACTTGGGTGACCAGTGTTCTTAAGACACAAAGAAGATACTGTAGCGATGTGTCTATAAGAGATACTTGAATAGAGAATCACTGAAAAATAGCTCAGACTTTCCAGTTAATCTAAAATGTTTTATCAGCCGGCCTATCAGAAATACTGGTAAATGCTTAAGGAACTTATTTCCCTATTATGTGGTTTTTCAGACTAGGTAACTAACTTTCTTGTAGAAGTAGGAACTAAAGAACATTAGGTCAAATGTCTGCATTATTTTGTATTTGGATAAGTCCTATTTTTAAAATCATGCGCTTGAAAAATTAGTATTTACATTGAGAGTGGCTGACTTTGTTTTGGGAAAAGCTCGATGGCAAATATTCAGATGATCTACAATATTCACTAACTAAACCTTCAAATTAGTATTTTTACCACTAAGTGAAAACAGCCTGTAATTAAGTGAAGTAGATAATATCATTATGATATAGATGATCTCAGTGTGAAATGGGAAGTACCATGTCTCATTCTGGCTGTCCATCTTCAGGAAACGAGGCATGACCTTTTTCAAGACCTTGGCTCTCCGCTTGTGTCTAATTGTTTCCATGTTACCAGCCAGTAGTTTTGTTTAGTTCTTAAGAAATACTGGACAGTAACAGATTGATGAAAGCTGATACTGGAAAATATTCTCAAAATAAACACTGAACTGCTTTAAAATATTTTCCCTGACTGGCCAGTTTGTGTATTTTACTGATAAAATGTTTGACCTTCAAAAGAAGTAAACTTCTATGTTGAAAAGCTTCTCACTTTTGCTTTTGGCATTGCAAAGCAGTCGCACAGATGTCTGCTGGGCAGCATCACTGCTCTTTGCATCTCTCTTCTTGAACGTGCATTAGTGTTTCGCCTTCTAGAAGTGGCGTGTAAGGCTCCTCCTTTGCTCCTGTCCTCAAATGCTTTACAGCTAGAAAGACCTAACTAACATCAGGGAAAAGATTTTTTTAGATGTAGTAACATACCTCTTAATGAGTGTAGAGTGACTGGCTGTATTTTTTTGCCTGTAGAAGCTGGTACCACTGTAATATAACATGATAATTTAATATAATTTAGAAGATAAAGTAATTTTAAAGTAAAACTGTCCCCCAAAGTAAATCTTGTATAGTAAATGCTGAGCGGCTGAAAAAACTTTGTGAAGATCTTGAGCTACCAAGAATGGTAATGATTCTGATTTATCACTGAGGGTTTTATCTTAGTAACACACACACTGGCTCACTCAAATTTTATCAAGTCTACTACTGTGAGTCTTCCATCATTGTGAAGAGCAGATATGATGACACATCAGGATGGTAATATGTTGCCATTTCAGTAGTAGAGTTCTCCATGCAAGTAACTCCTTCTAGAAGTACCTTTGGGAAAATAAAACTGCAGTTCCTTTTGAATTAAAATAGGACAAAAATGTTGTTTTAGTGGACTCTTAACTAACTAAAACAAATGTGTGCTTTGTAATCTACTATGTTGCTTTTCCAGCTTTCAAGTTCTCGTAGCAACTTCCATTGTCAGGTTGTTTTGCTTATATAAATGTACTACAATGGTCTTTCAGCTACAAACCAGTGCGTAGAAAGTAGCGAGTTGGCCAGTATGTTCAATAAAACTTACGCAGACATAGAAAGGGAGGAAATGGTACATAAAATAGTTACCTTCTGGGTATTGCTCCTTTAAATGTGTGGTTTTGGGGTTTTTTAATAGTCTATTGGTTCAAGAATTTCTGTTGAAGACCACTGCTGCTTCTCTAAAAGCTGGTATTACTGCAGAGATCAGGTGTGTTGGTGATAAGGCCTCCAGGTATATAAGGGCCCATCTCGTGTTCTGTCTGAAGAAGCTGCTGTATCTCTTCTGTTGGTTACGGATTGCTGCAAAAATAGTGTTTGCCCTGCCTCCAAGTAACAATTCCTTTTTGGTAGCAATCCTTGTTACTGAGAAATACCACCATCACCTTTCACGTGAGCATTAGCTCTAGCTCAGTAATGTTTCTGTGTGGGCCAGGGAAGTTGGTTATGTTCAGTGCTAAAAATGCATTTGACAAAGAAATAACGCAGTGAAACTAGCACATAAAGAAAGAATGCACTGCTTTTTGCTGTCAAATGTATATGCTTAGAATCTCCTCTATTTTTCTTTGGTTTAAGGGCTTACTGCTTACAGGCAGTATAGTTTGACAAGGGTAGAAAATGGAGGGCTCGGTGATGGCAGTGGCCATTCTGTTGCATATAGCCAACTCTCCCCTTTGCTGTTTGTTTTGTAAACCTGAGATGAAACACATACTCAGTTACTTCTAGTTCTGCTGGCTTTGAAGAACAATGTGTCAGGCAGCAAGGATCTGGCAAGCTGTCTGTCAGCAGCGGTGACTGTAATGTGTATGTCTTCACAGCTCTGATATAAGCACCCGATGTTCTGGATAATTTGTTAAATTGTTGAAATTCTCCAAATTTTTAAGAATAGGTACAGTTATATAGAAGTAGCGACTGTGGCAGAGGACTGAGTTACAAAAAATCAGTAACATGGATAAACTAAGTGAAGGTAATAAATAGGTCTAAAATTCAGTAAAATACGTGCACATTCTTCTGAGGAGGGTACTTGCGCACCCCAGCTGTGAAAGCCTGAGGCTCCTCAATCTTCCCACCTGCAGGAGTAGCCTGGGCCAGGAGCCATGGTGAGCTATGAGATACCCTGTGTCGTCTTCCACTGGTTTCTGGAACAGCTTTGTTTTAGAAAATGGGTTAAAAAAAAAATAACAAATTTTAGAAAAATAAATATATATAGCCTTGAGATTACACTACATTTTCATGTAGTTTCATTTTTCTAGCTCACAGCTGCTTCTGTAAATGCGGGGAGCTTCCAGTACTTTCTGGAAGTCTTGAAAGTAATTTCAAAACATGGTGTTGGCTTCCTGCCCCAATAACTTGAATCAAAGCGCTTTACTATTTCTTTAGAGAAGCATACCAAAAGGTAAGTGATATATTGCTTCGGGCAAAATGGAGAACGTTTGGCCAGGTGCTTTTCTGCATTCACCTGTAATTGAATGACAAAAATAATCTCTCTTTTAATTTGTTTTTTCAGGGTGCTATTTCTTTTATTATAAAGAACCATCGTCTGTATTGATTTTGTATTTCTGCTTTTTGGCTGCTTTAGCTTGCCATGGTTGCATGTAGTCATGATGCTAAATTGGAAGCATTGTTGCTAGCAAAAGACTTCAAGCAGAAGAAATATTGCATCCATCCATGCAGTTGGGTCTTATTCTCTGAATTGTTCAAAGACAGACTGTGACCGTTCTGCCACAGAATGGTGATGTGACATTTGTTTTGACAGTCACATGTTCCTTCCTCAAAATACCATTTATCCAAGAAGGAGCAGTAGAATTAAAGGTGCCCAAATGCAGTAAGGTGAAGATTCCCTAGACAGCTAAGGCAGCAAAGAACAGCCAGGTTCTCTTCTGCTGCACCTTGTAGTTGCCCTGGGGCTCTTCAAAATATCTGAAAAGGGTTGTGATATGAGGCAGTGGATCCTGTGATCTCCACCCTGCTGACAGCTTGCAGGACTGTAGTGAACATTTCTCCACTCCGCAGGGAACCACTCTGTGTAGTAAGGCAGGTCCCGGGTGGCTGTGCTGGCAGTCCACAAGAAGGTTTTAAGGCTTGACAGAGGTCTGTGAGTCTAGACGATCTTAATCTTCAGTACAAACGTGACGTAAGTCAGACATCAAGGAAAAATGCACAGTCAAAAATAAAAGGGGTAGGGTGTGAATTGGTTTTTATAGGTCAGGAGGCAGCATTTGAGTGAGGCAGCATTTGAGAGATGAGGGGTGTCTGTGAGCCTCTGGGCATGATAATGACCCCCTCCTGCCCCATGATTTATTTCCAGATAGGGGAAATTTCCAGGGGTTGGCAGCATTTGTGATCTTAAAGCAAGACTTTAAGACCAAACAGCTACAAAATAAGGTTTACTTTTTTTTAAATACTTGTTTAGGAGCTGTCCAGAAGGACTCCTTATAGCTATGTAACTTTTAGTGTGTGTGTGTGTGTGCGCATCTCATCTGTAAAGTTCAAAGCTCTTAAGAAATATGTGCTTGCCATGTTGACTGACAAAATGTAGTTTTTCAATATCTGAATCAAGCGGTTAAGTCAATGATGGAATTGGTGATGGCGGAATTTAGTTCTTCAGAGTCTTGGTTTGATGCCCTACGTACTGTAACTTGGTAACTTCTCTTTTTTTGAGGGGCAGCGTGTCTCTGTACCAAAGTGGGTTTTTTAGGGTTCTGAAAAAGAAGTATATGAACCACAGGCATATAGGTGAATTAACAATACATGACCACGATGGAATAAAAATCAAAAGTTAAATCTCATTGATTTGAATATAGTGTAACACTGCCATTTTTGTAATGGTTGTCATCCATACTACTTAAAAAGCAGTTTGAGAGAGTTCAGTTTAGCACAGATCCTAGTTCAGGGTCATGGGGAGCTGTGCTAGAACGACACACTCGGGATCACTAAGCGAATTGCTGACAGAGGCAGTAAAGAACTTGGGATTCCCAGCTTACAACATGGTACTGGACTTCACTCCATTTGGTTTGAATAGCAATTGTATTTGCCCAAATATTGTTAGAGTTTGACTGCATTCAAGATTATTTTAAACAAGATTTTTAGTCCTAGTTTTGGATTGGATTGCACAGATTATTTTGCTGATGGCAAAAATAACCAATAGCTAGTGCAGTGCATTTTCACATTTATTTTTTTTACAAAAGGCTTATCTTTCAACAAAAATACATCAGCATTTAGTCTGAGATTCTTCCTGCAACTTGAGTCCATACAGTTGCCTTTAAAAGAGACTGCTGCTTGGCCCTGGTAATTTTCAGCCCAGCAAGTGGTAAGCTAGGATTTAGAGACAGTGAGTGATGCACACATTTCTTTTCATGCCAACAAAATACCCAGTTGCACCTTGAAAACAAACAAAAGAAACCGAGGGAGAGGGGAAAAATTCTCATGGAGTTGGGTCTTGTGATTGTTTTAAAAATGTTAAAAATTTTATCTGGTCGTTTTTTTGTAGATTTTTCTCATTTAAGATGTGACAAGACACAATTTGTGTGGTTAAACCACAAATATGTGGATTGCTTATAAAAATGTGGCTGTATCTTTGTCATGACTACTCATGAGCATCTCCCAAGCAGATTAACTCCAGGGAAAATGGGAATTTTCTTTACTTGAGAGCATAGGCCCACTTTGAAGAGGTAATTGTGTACGGAGCTTTCATGTGGCAGGAAGCATCTGCCACATCCTGGCCCCCATAGGACCCACTGTGATGCTTCTGGATGACCAGCATAATCGCCCGTTATTGTAGTGTAGTATGATGCTGTAAAAATCCCAAGCAAAGTAGGTAGTTGTTAAGGAAATTAAGAACCCTCATTAATCATGAAGTTAGTTATAAATAGCCTAGTGAACAGTTCCCTTGTTAAATATTTACGTGTTTGAGTGTCTGAGCTGGACAATGTGAACATATTGCACATCCTGATATAGCAGGAGCACCGCACCATCCTGAAATAAAACTTCAGAGAAACAGTTAAGGCATTTGTGACAACAGGAGCTGACATTTCTTTAAAAATAATAATTAAAAAGTTGGCAGCACTGCAGTGTTCTACGCTATCATGATTGTCTTGCATATTCTTAAATAAAGGATCACTTATTTTCTCAGGCTTTAGGACAAGTAGGCATGGAAAAATTGTGAATGGTGATTTTAATCAGCAGCAAGAACTGAACTGAAGATCTGTTGAAAAAGAAACTGTAATTTTCATGATGACTTTTCTGAGCAGAAGTACTGTTCATTTTGCTTTTAAGAAATCCATGTGTTTAATCCTTCCATTTACTCTTGGAAGCTACACCTCCTGTTCGTTCCATTTAGGAATTTAAAAAAATAAGATTTTTGAGGGATGTTTTGGTGCTTCCTCAGAGTTCCTAAAGCAGGTGAATACAAATTTAGTGATCTTTTTTTTTTTCCCCTCCTCCTTTTTTCCCCCCGCAAGCTCCAAAGACTTCAATTTAGCTGAAAATTAGGCTTCCTACATGGCTGTACTAAATTACTTCTACAAGGCTAGTTTTTACTTAATAGCTTTAAATGAAATTTATACAGTTCCTTGCTACGATGCACCAGTCCATAATTTGCAGCTGTGATTTGGCTTACAAAACTTTGAAACAACAAATAATTTCAAGTAAAGATTTCATTTGGATGGCTGCATCACAGCTGCAAAGGAAGCTATGGTTTACTAGACATAATGGTTTTAAAAAAATTAAACATGAGTTTTCTGAAGACAAACTGCAAGACTTGCTCTGGTGCTAGCGGTGGAGATGGTAGTGTTGAACTCCAAAGATGCTAGGGAAAGCAGGAACAAGAGAACACGGGTAATAACGTCCTATTTTTTTTCTTCCCTCCCTACAATTTTTCTGTTCTTCCCTGTGTGCTTAATTGACTTTTTTTTTATAGACTTAATGTTAGGCTTGATTTTTGCAGTGAATAAGTTAAACTCTGTTAGTTCTTCCATGTGTGTTTTAAAAAAAAAAAAAAAAAGGAAAGCGATCTCAAGTAGTATCCCTTAGACTTCAGGAATCTTAATGCAGCTTTAAACTACTAATCAATAAACTCACCAGAACACAGTACTTTGGTCTTAAAACACTGTCTAAAAAAAAGGAAAGCGATCTCAAGTAGTATCCCTTAGACTTCAGGAATCTTAATGCAGCTTTAAACTACTAATCAATAAACTCACCAGAACACAGTACTTTGGTCTTAAAACACTGTCTTTG